TCCTCAAAAGAAAAGAGCTGCCAGAGAATTCTTGCTTTCTAGGTGCCAAGTTCTTTCTTTCCCCTAGAGGGAGCATCAGGCTTGGTGAATTGGTCCCTTTTAACTCAGTGCTGACTATATGTTTTACATGCCACTGTATTTAGAATCTGGGCTATATCTAATGCGGTTTACTCAAATGGGCCTTCACCATCTCCCTAATGCAAAGAAGCTTGACCTTGCAAATACAGACCTCACATTTGCATAGTAGAGTAGATATCTTTGAAGGAGAGTAAGCCTGTGCTGGACACTGAGTAAAGATTATCTCTAGTAGCAATGAATTCCTAGCATTTTAAATACTGGCAGTGTTGGAAGGTGTATATATGTGAGACTTGCCTGCCAAGGTCGGGTCTGGAGAGGCTTCAGCGTTTACGGCTTCTTACATGCAGGTACATCTTTTGTGCACAATGCTGTGCTCTGCTGAGTGATTTGGTTTGGTCACTTGCATTTGGGAGCTCTGCAGAGCTCTTGCTGAAATTCCCAGCTCACCCTTAAACCCCTAACGTGAGTGCTTGCTAGTGCACCACAGCTATATTTGTTGCTGTGGAAATCAGTTCTTCTAAAATGCAATTAGACTCTGGATTTTATGTGTAGCATGGCTTTTGGCTTACACTGTGCATGTACAGACCTGGCCCTAACCACAACAGGGACTGAGAAGCATTTCGTTTAGTGGTGCTTCTGTTCTTGGCAACTCAGTGCTGTCTAGGAAGGCTATAGTATACCAAACTGCCCTGTAAAATGTTGCTGTATGGAAGAGCATATGCACAGACAGATGGGTCAATATTAAAGGCCAGCTGTGGTGGCAAACAAAACTGGTGCCCAGAAGTGTGAGGAATTTCTAATCTGTGTATACTGAGTTCCTGTCCTCGTAGTACATCTTGTGGTATGGTGCTTGTTTCCCAGGTCATAAATATTTTGAGATGAGATCCGATCTTAATTCTTTTATGATGGACCAACCTGAACCCTGGGGGCTTAAACCGAATTGTTTATCCCATGTTGTTTTTTCCTTAAAAGAAGAAGAAAAAGCACCTAAATCTTCCACTTTACCTTGGGAAGACTGAGGAGCAATTTAAGGGTTCCTGTATTAATTTTGAAATTTCTCCTTGCTTATTAGTGCTAAAAGAAAGTCTTCAGCAGCTCTTCGGTGCTTCATTTCTGGATGTTGCAGATATTTATCAAAACAACGAATAGGCTACATGTGTGTTTTCAGAAATGTCTTCTGGGAGGCCCTGTGTCTCTGTCTTTGTTCTGGCTTTACAACAAAGCTAGGACCTCCTGTCTCATGAGCAGGGAAAGCAGTTATTGCAACAGGCCTTGGTTTTTGTGGCTCCTGCCCAGATGAGCAACAGTCCGGTTCTGGCCCCACTTGGATAACAAAGACCCTAATTTGCAGCACTGTCCAATGTGTATTTATGTTTGCATTAGTGCTCTAGCACATGTAGAGGGGAGAACTGTGAGGGGTATGTTTGCATTAGTGCTCTAGCACATGCTCTGTACTGTGAGGGAAGAAAAGATATGGACAAACTGGAGTTTTATGCTGCTTTATCATATGTTCTATACCTCCTCTTTGTGTTAGCCAAAAATCATTAATTAGTAACTCTCTTGTTTCCTTTTCAGTGATAAAGTGCAATCTCTCTCTTATGCTCACCACACTCGACAGCTCATCTCTTGCGGTGCAGACGGTGGCATCGTTGTCTGGAACATGGATGTTGAGAGACAGGAGGTAGATACTCAGGTCTTGTTGGTTCTATCCATCTAACCATCTTGGGAAGAAGGAGCCTTTCTAAAATGTGTAGCTTTCAGTTTGAATAAGGTTGTTCCAGGTGGTAAAAATGTTTTCTGGTCCAGCAAACATTGGTCCAGTTATTATACAGCAATTATGCTGGGCCTTTAATAATATGGTACGGGGTAATTATCTGACAGAAACTTTGTATTAAGTATGCCGTGAAATGGTTTCTATCCTTTACGTTGCTGCTCTGAAAGGCATCCTCTAACAAGGATGTTGTAGGATGCTCTTTGTTTTTTCAGGACATCTAAGAAATATTATCAATTCTGAGGTAAATGATGGATTGATTATTATTTTATTAGGTTTTTTTAAGAAAACAAAACCAGAAGGCTCTTTGCCATCTCTGGAAACCTGCCATTTGACCCAGGTTTTTTCCTCTGTTCTTGGTAAAAAGGCATTTAATTATGCCTTCAGTCTCACCTGCTACTCAGTCTTGCTACCTCTGGTGCAACCACATAAAACGGTGGTAAACAATGACGTTGCTGATCAAGACAAAAAAAATGTTACCCATGCAATCGTGACTGCTTTTGTGCTGTGTGGCCAATGAAGGTGAGCAAGCGCAAAAATGTACCTGAGGCCTTCTGTGCTATGGGCACAGCCTCCATTCGGCAATTTCTAAGACCTGACTCAGAGAGGTAAGGATGCTGCAAGTCTGTGCTGAGTGAATCAGGCTTTAGCCGTACTTGTGAATGTAGCAAATCTCAGTAAAAAGAGTCATGGCAAGCCTCTTTCCTTCCCTACCTGGAGATTGCAGCTATGCGTAATCATCTGCCATATGCCTAAGGACAGGCACGGGCCAAGAGGAGGCTCGGGTACCCTGATTAGCCATGGCGGGTAGGTCTGAGTATGGAGAGGTTATTGAGCCAGTGTGTAGTGTGGGGTTGTGGCTGGAAAGGACACAGCTGGATGAAAACACCCTTCTGTATGAATTCTCTTACCTTTCGCTTTTCACATGAGATGCAAAAGATTGCCATAACTGAGTGGGACTAGAGAAAAGCAAGGAGGGGTAAGGGTGGTGAATTTTTCCAGTTCACTCGATGCTCTTGACAACACAGTGTTTAATCAGCTTTGCTGTTTCCCCACAAGGGTTTTTGGTCTGGTGGCGTGGGTATCTCTCAAGCGAGGGCTCAAGAGACTTTCCTAAGTGGAAAATTGGATTAAAAATCTGCTGAAAAAGGCCTAGGCAGGAACTGAACTACTCTTACTCCCTTTTTTTACACGAATTAACATTCCAGTTGGCTCTCTTTAATTGCTAATCTAACGGCCAATTATGTCATACGCTCCGAAAGTGAAACGAAAGCAGAGCGGCTTCCTCCCTCCCAACAGATGTTTCCTCACTGCTGCAATTCAAACATCCAGAAATGAAAATCTTATTTATTTGATGTCTTAGAAAGGCTACAGTAAGGGTTAAAATTGGTTTGTTGTGAAACAAATGGGAGTGTTATGAGAGGAGTGGTTAAAAGCTGGAGGAGAAATATAATTCGCTAAATGAGGGTTTAGCAGCAGGTGCTAACGGGTGTTCTGCTTTCTCTAGCTATGTCTGTGTGGGCTCCTCCTTGTTATCAGTAGCGTGATAGGGGGTCCATTGTGCTAAATCACTTCCAAAATGTGAATCTTTGGAATTTCAATACCAAATCTTGTTTTGGGTTCCTAGAGCACTTTCTTCTGCATTTTGACTATGGTGTTTTTCACCTGTTTTTTTTTTTTTCCACTTAATGTTATCAGATTTTCCCACATCTCTGAGATTGCATTGCCAAAAATGGCATTAAGCCATTTTTCCCCTCAGTTCCTTATTTTAAACTCTATTTTTAAAAAGCTGCAAGAAGAGAACATCTGAAAGATGCTAGAAGCTGTGTTTGCATTTTACTGCAAAGCAGTAGTAACTGCACAGTAGTGCAGTAACTGCAAGTAGTGACTTGCAGTAGTCGACTACAAGTAAAACATCTTCTTTATGTATATATAGTGTTCAGGTGCTTCAGAGGTGAAAAATGTGTTCGTGCAGATGTAAATTTATAGGCATTAAACTAAAAGACATTTGTGGGTAGGAAAGGCAGGAATTTAGCCCTGCAGAATGACCTGCCTTTAAAATAGCTGACAGAAAAGCTGAAATAGGCAGTCACTTTATTGTTGGCGGTCAGAGCAATCAGGGGAATTGAGAGACTCGGTCAGCCTTACTGTATGGTTGTCTGGCTTTCATATTGTTTTTAATTCTTAATCTTAACTGTGGCTCTTCCCTTTTTTAATTGAAATACTTGAGAAGCTGGTGGGTCTGACAAGTCAACTGTGCTTTGTTAGTAGCACTTCCTCACAAAGTATCTAACTTAATTTATTATGTATTTAATTTTTTTGGGTGGTGGGGATGGGTAAGAGTGTGTTACCGTGCTGCCTAAGCAGCCCTGGGAAGGCTGGGGGCTGTCTGGCCATGGGGACGGGAAGGACCCGCTTGCCAGCACCTGCTTTGGCCCAAGCGCTTGTCCGGGTGGACAGGCGAGAGGAGCAGAAGTCATCCACTGGGAAGGAGCCCCGCGTAGGACTGACAGACTGTCCTGCTGATGGACAAACAGCTGAAGGAGGGTCAAATGCAGCTGTCCTCTGAAACGGGGAACTGAGGCTCTTTCCGTAGAGCATGTCCCGGAGAGGGTTTCTGAAACATGGTGGGGAGAAGCACTGCCTGTCCCCCAGCAGCTCAGTGTGGCACGCATGTCAGAGGACCCAAGAGTACAGGAGGAGGCCATCTGCTCCCTCCACGTGCCTCCCGGCTGCTGCAGGCATTTCCTGACATCATCCAGGGTTGGACAAAACTTGCAAAACTTGTTCTGCTTGGCCAAAACTTGCTTCTGTTCATTCTGTGCAGAATGGCTGGAGGAGGGAGAAATGTCTTTAATGTTTTCTTTTTGTTTAACCTTCTCTAGCCTTACCCCCTTCATCTACAGCATGAGCACGAAGCTACACATTGCATTAGGAAATGGAAGACTTGCTTTACATCTTTATTGTTTAAAAACAGGGAAAAGAGTTGTTTGGGGTTTTTAGGCTTGTTCAGGAGACGCTCATCTTGCTCAGCCCTGCATGTGATTTGTAGCAGATACCTCCGACAGCAGGAACTTTTGGAATATCTCTCACAATGTTAAAAGAAAAAAAAAACCGCAGTATTTCAGATATCACCCCCTCTTCTTCCATTCAGATGAGTAGCTCAGCTGTTGGAAATACTAATTGCCTCCAGTTTCCACCAGAGGCAGTAGCAGATGGAAAATGCTGTCCAGTCAGGACATTCATTTTTATATGCCTAATTCTAAACGTGGAGAGGTGGTGGGAGACTTGTTTGTTCTTGGGTTATTTTTATCTTCTTATAATCAAATTCTCCTTTATGTATAGGGTGAGAAGTGTTGCGCCTGTGTCCTTCAAGGCTCAAAGCTGAGCTAAAAAAGACATCTCAGGGAATAGTCAAAATGATTTCTTGTGAAAATGGAGATTTTTAATCAAGTTCACTTGATGAAGCTACTGCACCCAAAACTTCTTTCTTGCCCTGTCTCTGGGCTCCAATGGATGATTTTCTGCTTGTTGCTCCTTTCCTCTTTTTATATGTGTTGCAGACACCCGAATGGTTGGACAGTGACTCCTGTCAAAAATGTGACCAGCCTTTCTTCTGGAACTTCAAACAGATGTGGGACAGTAAGAAAATAGGCCTCAGGCAGGTTTGTATGGGTCTCTTGGTGTATTAACATAATGCAATTAGGCTTCCCTCTCAGCAGATTACAGTAACTTTTTTCCCCTAAAGGCTGCAGAACATGCACTTTTTTTTTTAAGCGCTCGATAGTTGGGTAGGGAGCTCCCCTCAGTGATCAGGCTTGGTTTTGCTGGGCGGGGGAACGCTGAGAGCCAAGAGCCTTGCCCGTTAGAAGCAGAAGAAATTTTTGCATCTGGTCCCAATAGTAAATGCATATAATAGATGTTGGGCTGAGTAAATTTTCTGTTTCTGGGCTGTCCACAGTTTTAGCCATGTGGGATTTAGCTTATTGTCAGTTGAATTGGTTTTAGAAAGAAATTTGCAGCTGATTTCTGGAGATTATGTTGGAAGCAAAGCTGTTTTCCACGGGCTTGGGTAAACATCTGTAAGTGCTCAGGCTGTGCTGGAAAAGGCTCATTGGTCTGCTTGGAACGCACAGTTACATTTTTCTGCCCGGTAGAAAAGGGCCACGGCTTGCAGCCTTTCAGGAAAGGAGTGTAAAAAAGCAGAAAAGGGTATTCTTATGGAGCTTGAAAAAGTCAGGTGTCTGGGCCACAGCTGAGCTGCATTTTCTCATTCTTTATATAACGCTTGTCACCATAGTGCCTGGCTCTCCAATGGCGGGCAAGGCAGCACTGCAGTCCCACGCAGCCAGTGTGTGAGGAAACAGGATCCAGGTAGTATCAAAATGCAGGCACACTAGTACCTCTGAGGCTGAAAACGGCCAAAGGGATTGAGATGATTAGGTGACAGACATTTATATGTAGAGGAAGAGAATGAGATGAGACTCCAGAACGACACTGCACTAATGCTGATAACAGCAGCATAGCCCCATGCTACTTTGCACTGGGCATGTTTTAATGTATCACATGTTGCTGAGCATTGTTGTTGTCCTGTACATCCCCAAAGTAAGAAATGAGGGGCTTTTTTCCCCTAGGAAAAAGACCAGGTTGAGAATTATTGTGCTCGCCACTTAGTGTTGTATTACTAGCTGTCTTCCAGCTTGATCATTCAATACCTGGCACCAACACCAGTGCTGGAGAAAGGGGATTGGGTTGGAATTTAACCTCAGCAGTTCCTGAGCCTCTGCTGCTCCACACATCGGCACAGGGAGGAGGTGCATCTGTCTCATCCAGGGACAGTAGGGACCACAGCTCCCAGCAACGTGAGGGCTTCCTTCCAGAGGGGCTTCTTCATCCTGTTCCCCCATCTCTATCTCTTTTAATGAAAAGAGCACAGCTTGGATTTTTTTTTCTCCTCCCATCCTGTTACACCCACATTTAGCACTGGCCACACTCACACTCAGTGAAGAAGTCTGGACCTGCAGCTACACCCACAGATCCCAAAGCACTTAGTAAGAGAGGAGATGATGATGTACTGAATGATGTACGCTGTGACTATGGAGTGTGAGGAGAGAGGCAGAGCCTACCTCACCTATGCAGTGCTTTATCTGCCAGCTCTCAGTGTCCATGTTAGTGATCAGCTGCTGCTAGCCCTGGGTAGAGAAGGAGAAGAAAAATTGACAGTAAGGTTTTTTTCCCCCCATTTACGCTGATGTTACTGCCTGTTTTCCTTTGTTTTCCCTGGAAGAGTCACTTTCCCGTTTGCTTTAACTTTAGCCCAGTCTTGTTAAAGTGAACTGAAAGAGTCAGCTGGAGCTGAGCAGTGACTGGCCTCTGGCTTGGTGGGTGAAGATGCCTTTTTTTGTGTTGCTTCCCACAGCATCACTGCCGGAAGTGTGGGAAAGCCGTGTGTGGTAAATGCAGCTCCAAGCGCTCCTCCATCCCGCTGATGGGATTTGAGTTTGAAGTGAGGGTCTGCGATAGCTGTCACGAGTCCATAACAGACGAAGAGTAAGTGTGGGCACTGAGCAAGCTTACGTTGGATCGAGGCAAAACTTCTGCATCTGGAAGAGACCAGGCAGATGCAGGGGTGTGGGGGGTAGCAGCAAAGGGAGTGGTCTCTAGGCCCTTTCTCTAAGGGATGCCTCTGCTGTACCCCCCAAACCAGGAGGGATAATCTTCCATCCCTGCCTCCTCTGCTAGTGAACACTTAAGGGGAAAATGCTGCAGTCATGGGTCTTTGCTGATTTTGGATCTCTTCTTTCAGGCGGGCACCCACAGCTACTTTCCATGACAGTAAGCACAACATAGTTCACGTACACTTTGATGCCACAAGGGGATGGCTGTTGACCTCGGGGACAGACAAGGTTATTAAGGTACGAGTGAAGAGAATTCTCCAGTTCTTGTGTTTCATCTCCCCTTTCTCTCCCTTGTGAGTCCAGGTATGTCCCACCTGCTTTCTTTCACCTGCAGAGACCTCTCTCACAGTCACCAATTCCTCCCTTCTGCCATTAAGGATCGTCGATATTCTTTCTGCATGTAGGAAAATGGAAAATTGCTCCATTCTTCTAAAACTTACTTAGTTTCAAACTAAGAGTTCTGAAATCCCTATCAGGGATTTTTCTTGCATGAGTCTTGTGAAGCACTCAGAGCATCAATAAGATCCTGCAAATTCCTCCTCCTGTCACGGCACGCATTTTTAGGGGGTGAGAGGAGGGGTTAGTTTCTATAGCAAGAATATGAAGAGAATGTCATTTGTGTATAATGAAAAAAACTATTCATGGGCCAGAGCTTTCTGTGTTCTGTAGGAAAACAGAGAAGTTCAGCTGCTCAGATAGAGCTCACTTTTGGAAAGGTGAAGGTACATGCCCAGCTAAAATAGACCCTGGATCACATATGGAAGGTCTTCTACGTACATGGTTTGGTTGTCTGACTGGATATATCACTGAAAATACATTTGAAGTCGATCTATGAAGTTGTTGCCTGAAGTGGCTGGGACTAGACTAGCTACATCCGAGTCAGTGTTCATTGTACCTTTTTCTCAGGGAAGACAAACTGTATTTCAATCTCAGCTAATCTCAGCTGATGTGGCTAGATGAAAAGAGGCCCTTCCAATGTCAAATCCCCAGGTATGGAAATAGCTAAAATTATGAATAATTTTGTAACAAATGCTCTGTTTTAGTGGTTAAAAAACCCCTCATGACTATGGTAACCATTCAAGTTAGCAATACACTGTGATTTTTGGTTTCTCTTAAGGACCTGTTACAGCTATGAACCTGGCTTACAGTGTAAAGTATAATGGTCAAACTCCACCAGTCTGACATGGGTGCTGGAAAATGAAATCAAACTTACTTGGACCAGATGTTTCCATTTTTGACCAAATGGCCTCTCTTAAGCAAAAAAAAAAAAGGTGCAAATTACATAGATATGGCATTATATAATATGTTATATTTTATTATTTTTACCGTTATTCACTACGGTATTATCTTTTATTATATTAACAGTTGTGGGATATGACACCAGTAGTGTCTTGATGATACATCAGTGGAACTTGAAAGGTGGTATTTACAGAAGAAACAGATTTCCTAACCTTAATCATACTGCAGAAGATAGATAACGCTGGGCACCTATGGCAGATGAGGAAGAAACTAATGTGTTTACGACGATTTTATGTCCTCTGCTTGATCAAGGCTGAACATTTGCACGAAGACTCTTTCCACTTATTCTCAAAATATACAAGAAGGTATTTTTTTAAACTAATGGTTTGTACGATCTGACTGTGCTTGGTTGTCTTGAGTTTGTTTGGAAAATCTGTGTGCAGTGCAATTTTTAGTTTTTATATTTCATTATGTCAGAATACTTGCTGCTTTGTACAGAAGGTTCTTGGGTTGTGTCTTGCCATGTAAGTTTTCAATATCAGCATACTGTATAAGGCAATTAGATCTCCCCCCAGTGAACACCTATTTGTTTGTGATGTTTCTGCTGACGATATTCTCTCAAGTAGGGAAACTTCAGGCAAGGCGTTGCACGTTCTCTCATTGCGTCACTAAAGATCGGAAGGACTATGGCAATTCCAAAAAGGGCTCTACTCTCTATTTCTCCGAGCAGACGTCATCTGGAAAATGTTTTATTGTTCCATGGTAGTTTAAAATACAGCTTCCTGGCTCTTTCCTTGCTGCCCAACTTGCAAAACCAGGGGGCAGGTTGCTTGGCAACTAATTTCTACAAAAGCTGAAATAGTTTTCCACCTCAGAGCATTGCAAGAAGCACACAGGTCTGTTTGAATTTGATGAGGCTGACAGGCTCATTCAAATTAAATTATAGGCAACTGTGGCTTTTGGGAGTGTGTGCACAGAGGGGAGGGGGATCTAAAACTGGTCTGGGTTTGAAAAGTCTGTTTTACCTCTACCTCTACCTTGCATAGCAGCATTTCAGCATTTGTACCTGTCTGTTGTTGAAGATGATTTTGATTTTCCTATTTTCCATATGGTTAGTCATATTTATTTTTAAAATGCTGATGTTTTTTATTAATTTCCTCTATAGACCAGAAACTGATATTACTGAATGACACCATTGTCTTGTTGTCTTATCTGGCAGTTTCTTTTAAAAATAAAAAGTATTTAAAAGCCTGGATTGACATTTTTAAAAGGACATTGTCAAGATGAACAAACAAAAACAATCCCTCTCCCCTTTTTTTTTTTTTTCCCAGAGGGATCATATCTGAAAAACCATCTCTTGGTTCCTTTATTCCATTTTACTTTGGAACACACCATTGTTGGTGCTCTTGGAAGAAACTGGCTCAGAAAATAGAGCTGCAGAGCAGACTGAGGAGTTTCCTGTCTCTCCTATTTAAGCAGACCTTGTGGTCTGGATTGCTGTGACATAGCAAGTCATTGGTGCTCAATTGTGCCCCATTTTGTACTTTCCTTTTCCCCTCTAAAGTGGGGAGGTGATTATTTTTACCACCATAAAGCACATTGCTACTTAGAAAAAAGTCACATTTGAGGCTGAGTGATAACTCTAAAAGAAAAGTAAAGCTTATCCTTTGCTTACCTGGCAGTAATTCATGTTTGAGTGGGGCAGAGGAGGGGAAAAAGCAATCTGTGGCATTAATTCTTGACTGATTAATTGCCACAGTAAAGAGTGAGTAGTGTAGCACTGCTACATATTTTCAGGGAAATTTTTCTTTTTATGCACCCTAGGAAGTGGGCTTAAGCATTTTTGCAATCCTGTTGTCTAAAACTGTGCCACTTTGACTTACCTGGCCATAAAGCCTGCTGGTCCCCCTGTAGGCAGTGTATTTTAATGCATATTTTCAAACATGATTCACATAGCACTAAAAAGATTCTTTTTTCCAGTTTAAAAGTTAATTCTTTTGTAAGTTCTCCTACTTTCTCTCCTGGAAGATGGACTCTTTGACATCTTTTCATTACATCTTGTGCATATTTTCTGATGACTGACGCATTCTTGCCTGACGAAGCTAGGCAAGATGAGCAAGCGGCCTGCAAAACTTTCATTTCAGCTGGAGAAGGGATGTGCAGCTTTGCCAGACTATGCTGTTCCACGTTACCTCAGGCTCGGGGCCTTTTGGCCAAAGACAAATTTGCTTTGCTCCCACAGGGACTCACACACTGGCGGAAACATGGGAGCACTGACATAAACTTAAATCACTGCTCAGCTCTGTGTTCCTGAGGAGACGAAATAGTTGCAAGAAGCCTGGATGCAGCGTGAATTGTACTTACCTTAAGGGACCTGTGAAGTCGGCAGGCTGAGGATCTGCCCCTGGGTCAATACCCAGTCCTTTTGGACCATGTGGAAATTAAAATAAAAGTGAGGGACCCAACTCTAAAGAAGACTAAGTTTAGGAGCAAGGTGTGTTTGGACTACTCTGCAATAAACTCCTGGTCCCCCTTCCCTTCCCAGGGAGTTGTGGTTTCAGTGTCGCAAAGAAACTTGTGGGTGGATGTTGGGTATACAAATCCATTTTGCAAAATTTCCCTTTCTGTTTTTTCTGACTGAGTACCTGCAGGGTTATCTACATTTAACTTGAATGTCCGAGTGTCTTGCAGTCTTGGGAGAGAATGGTCTTGGCTTACAAAATGATATAAGCTGAAGGAGGAGCTGTCAGGGGAAAGGGAAGTGTGTCCCCTTGCACACGCTTAAGAGATGCAATGTACAGATTAAGAGATATAATGTACAGATATATGAAGGGAAATAGGCATATGTAACTCAAACAGTAATTCCTTTACCTCCCAAACGAAATTAGAAGGATTTGACGTTGGGAGAGTTAAATATGCCTCCTCTCCTGTTCTGCTTTGTTAGTGTAACAGTATCGATTTCTTTTGTCTTCTTGATCAGCACAAATAAGGGTCCCTGCTGCCTGGATCTTTCTTTCCATTTTAGTTTGCAGAATAACAAACCTGAGCTATTTTTATGAATCGCACTATTTGGAGGGGGTAGGGTATCTTTCAGCGCAGATGCATGCTATGCAATACCCCTCCACATGTGCACACACTCAAGCAAAGGAAAGCTCTTTTCCCTGGGGTTGGTGGTTTGCAGCACCAAGCTTTTAGTAACATTTCCTGCTGTGCCAATGGGCATGCAACCAGTGCCGGCCTTCCTCCGCTCTTGAGTTTAGAACAAATAGATTTTCATTTCTTAGATTATGTTTCCGTGGCGGAAGAAGCAGTGCTGTTCAGAGAATCTACCTGCAATTTCTAGTTTTAAAAATGAACAGCAGCTGTAGTGCTTACGCAGTGATGAGGCAGGCATTGGTCCCGTACATAACACCTCAGCAGCGGACTTGAGCCATGCATGTACGAGGCCACTGAAGGAAAATAGACCTGAGCATTTATTCTCGCCCCAGACTTAAGTCCTTTGAAGCTGAAAATAGGTGAAGGGAAAAAGTAGGCAGCCACCTGCCAGGATAGCGCTGATGTTTCTTCCTTCTGTGGGAGGCTAACCTAATGGTTAGTCATTTTGAAATAGGGTAGTGCTAAGGGTTAGAAGTCAGGCATTATTAGAGACACTAGTTCTGTAGGTTGGTGGCCTTAGTGTGCCCATCTGCTAGCGCTCTTTTCTATAGCTACTTCTCACAGCAAAGCCCAAGTGACCTCCCCACCTGAATCTCTTGAACTTGAGGCCACCATCTGAATGTCAGCGCATTACCTCTTAGGGCATGAAAAGGGAAAACTGCAAATGTATGCTGTGCTTTGCTTGGGAGAGTGGTATGACTACCTCCAGCACTAGGAAAAGGAGGGACATGTTCTCTGTGCTTAGGGTTGGTTGCCGATAAGAAGGTGGACTGTTGGACACACAGAAAGGATTGTGTGGAATCCAAAAAAAGCTGTAGAAAGAAAACATTTGCTTGTTTCCTCACTTTGCCCACTGAGGAAATCACTGTTGGAGAGGAATATGCAACTTTTTTTCTAGAGGAGTCCGCTAAACATTTGCGTCTACTGCATGACTTAGAAAATGAGGAAAAGATGCATCTTTCTTTAAATCTAAAATGTTAGGGCTATTGATTGTATTTGTGAATGCTACATGTGACTGTCCTAGCTGTTTACAGGGTTTGGGTAAAAACAACCGAAATTCGGTTTTGTAGCACGTAGGAGAGAGTTCTGCAGTGTGTGGTTTGGCATGCCCTGGTCCTTTCCAGGTCACTTCATGGAGCAAATGGGATGTTTTCAATTAAGAGTTAAGGGCTTTGTTTCTATATGTGACAACAGTATGCAACAATAACAACAAACTTGCTCCCTTTTCAGGATGGATTAATGTGCTAAGTCCCTTCAGCCTTGACCTCTTGTGTAATACTGATGGAAAGGGGGAGCCAGATTTTCTCTCCAAAATCACATGTGAAAGTTGGCAGGAATCTTTGAACCTCAGAAGAACCCCCCTTAGTTTGACCAATAGCTAAAGTTCCCAAATTTGAGTTTCAGAGATTAGCTCTTTGGGGTCACATGTGACTTTTCATTGCTTTTCCCCAGTTGGGGGGGTTTTGCACTGTGGCTTGTCTTTGGCCATCTCTGAAATTTTGTTTGCTGCAGGACAACATTGTGCTGCTAAGAACAAAAGAGTTCAAAGGCATTGAAATCGCTGTCATGTGGGAACATCAACCTCAAAGCAAAATGGAAACAAAACAGCACAGTCAACTGGCAAAGTGACTGCAAAGAAAAGATGCCAAGAGTGAATGTTATCAGCATACAAATAGAGCCAGTAGCATAGAAATGAATATTCATCAGAATTGTATGAAGCTGAACCATCCCGATCGTCACGTTATAAGCCAACCAGCAGTCCTGAACAGGATCCAGACGCCATGAGGAGTAGAGTTGTTCTGGTGATGGGGTGGTAAATTGAACCTACGAAGATCTAACTTGTTTGTTATTCTTTGTCTTAGTTGCCCCATAGTAGCATCTGTCTACCTCAAGGAGTGCTGTGAGAAATGGATTAAATGTGGATTCACTTAGATGTTTAAATGATGGGAGAGAGACATCGCTATTGACACGGTACTGGGAGCTGTCAGGCCTTAAGAAGATGCTGGGTTTGCCCCTGTCCAGTTACTTAAATAATCTCAATGTATTAAAAGTTTTATCACCTTTACACTTTCCAAGCTTCTTTGCACAGTTTTTTCCTCCCTGTTATCAGAATTCAGCGACTTTGTAGATACTAATCAAATACAAATATTTTGTAACAGGACTGTTTTTTCCTCAGATTTGAAAGAGTCGCTCAACTTTGTCCCGTCCCAAGAAAATATCCCTACTAATTCTGTAGGGTTGCTGCTACCAAGTATTCAATAAAGCTGCAGCAAAAATGAGTACATGAACTTGATTCATCCTTAGTTTCAAATTAGCTTCTCTGAAGTTTTCACCACTCTGTCTTTGATGTTGAGTAAAATCTTATTTCTTCTCCCACCCTGCCTTCAGCCAATACTATAGTTCTCTGGCTTACAGCTTGGATGTAAACCTGATTTTCTCTGGTCTGGACACTGAAGTTACGTGCTGAGTGTCCAGACAGTACTGCAGCAAACGAAGATGCACAGCTGCAGTTATGTTTTAAGAACAGGATGGCCAACAAAAGCCACATATTGATAAATACTTATCTACCAGGCATCTGCTGTATGACATTGTTACTTCAGAAAATCTGATTTTTCTTGACTAGTTCAAAGGTATGATTTAGTTTTCCAAAGGCTGCAAATGAGTTTTGACTCTGTCTTTATTTGGTTAGTTCTTAAGTCCACCATGCTAACCCAATACATCTCTTGTGAACTTCCTGGTCTTTTAGAATATAGGGATGTTACATGAAAAATATTTCTGGCTTTGGTTCTGGTCAGTGTTTTCTAAGGATATTGCTCGGCAATTAGACCACTTTTTTTCTCCTTTATATTGTAACATTTTCCTCTTCCATTCCTTTATGTAAGTAGGTGTCTCCAACGTAACTGAATAAATTGTGCTAGTTCAACTCAACTGGATTCATTTCCATCAACTTTGGTCTATTGCTTTTCCTCCTGTGTGTGTGTGTGTGTGTGTGTGCGTGTGTGTGTTGACTTGTAACAAGGAGTTTGGAGTATTGAGTTTCACTGGACCCATTCATCTACCCATTCTGTTTGTTGGCATAAAATTGGCAACTATTATATGAGCAAATGGGGTAATTCCTTTAACATGATGAATTTTTACTTTCACTACCTGGAAATGGGTAAGCAGCCCGTGGAAGTGGGCCATTGGAGCGGTGCACTGATTGCCCAGTTCTCTGCATCCCCCCAAGACTGCCTGCTGATTGCCTTTCTCAACTCCTGCCGTGCCTGGAAAGTAAAGGGGCAGTTACCAAGAGGAAGTTTTTTAAGCAGCAAGGAAAACCTGAAGCTCCCTGAAGTTTGCATTAGTGTGGGTCTTGCCACTCTTCTTCTGTCTATCAGCGTTTGTATCTGTGGAGCACCACTGCCGCTACTGACACAGCAAAGACTTGAGTTGTTTCTCTTGATTTCTCCTGACAGTTGGCGGAAAGCCTGCCCTGCTGCAGCCCTTTGGCCAAGCTGCCGCTGTGTCACTTTGGAAGGCTGTGCATTAGGGTCTGCCTTGCTAGAGAGCAGGTTTTCTTCCCAAGAATACACCATTTTTCCAAACGTCTATCTGCTAGCTCCCTCTAGAGGGAGGAACACAAATACTGACGTACTTTACAAACTAAAGTTCTTGCATTTGGACACTTTTAGTCTCAGAAACATTGTTTATGCTACACTCCTCTTTAAGTTTCTTGCCTTTTCAGTACCTCCTTTCTCTTTCTTAGTGTCTAGATCACTGCTATAAGGATTGCTGTTGGAATACAGCTTTCAAGTTTTCTTATTTGCATTTCAAAATTATCTTCTCTAATTAATCACTGGGTCTGTCCAAATGCACCTCTCCCAGCAAAACGTAAGAAATGCAGGACACTGATGGACAAACAGGGAAATATCCTGAGGTGAGATGGGAGAGATCTGAAGCTCCCCACTTTCCTTCAAAATGTTAACAGCTCATTTTAAAAGACACCTGGGGAATGCTGACCAGCACTAATTTTAGATTAAGGGGATCCAGTGTCATAAGAAGGGGAACTTCTTTTTTTTTAGCATGGAGTGTGAGTAAGCATCACACAAAAGGAATGTAAGAAGGTCCTAGGCAAAAGGAAGTTATGGATTAAACTGGTTTATAGCAGCACTTCTCCACTGAAGTCAATGATCACCAGGTTCTTCTCTGAAAGAATTATTTCATACTCTGGCAATAGCACTTAAACCCTGTTCATGCTCCGCTCACTGAAATAAACGTTGTTTAATGAAAACTAGTACTACTCCTACCGTTAGGTCTTTAAAGACTGCTCTGTCATTCCACGAATATAATCATTGACTGAACTGAAGAATGAAAGGTCTGGCCCAGAGCTCTGTTCCACCAAAGAAAATGTTAACACTGAATTCTTCAGCACTGCCTTAAGCCTGTTTATATTGAAGACCTTAGTAAAACTCCCAGCTCTGAGCCCAAGCTGGGCATGTTTCAAAATCCTGTCTCCATCATCTTTAACGAGAAGGGGTACCCCTGCTTGAATCACCTTACGAGGGACTGTAGACTTAGGACAGCACAAAGACTGGCAGGTATGTTGGTGCAAATGCAAACAGTATTTGCAGTTTATGCCAGAATAGTGAGGTATTTACATTTAAAATGCTTTCCAAGTTAGCAGTAGGGTTTGGGTTTTTATGGGTTTGGGAAGTTTATTTGCGGTACATACAAAGTTACTTTTTCTGGCCCACCCCGCTTTTATGGTGAACAGTTGTACAGATACCAAAAATATGGGAATGTTGGCAGAGCCCTGGTACTCAAAAGCAGACCATTAACAATTGTTGTTTATACCTTTAATCAACCGTAGTTTTGTTTTTTTTTTAAACCATGAACAAACGTGGCCCAAAAATGAAACGTCAGGAAAAGAGGAAATGCTGTTCCACTGGCATCTGTTACTTGTGCATCTGCACTGCTGCAGTCAGTCCTGCTGCAGTGGTGATGGGCCGTGTTTTTCACTGGGACATGGGGAAATGACTCCACACGTGGTCTGTGGTGTTGCATTCCTGTTTGTACAAAATCCCCAAAAGCAAAAAGCCTTCTCACTGGGTGACATTAAGAAATGAAGAAAAATGAGAAAGTCTTCAGAATGTGAATAACTGAACAATTGAGGTCAGAATCCTGTAAGTTTGAAAGATGATATAAGAAGAACTGCGCTGTGAGTGGAAAGGGAAGTGAAGTAAGAGGAACAGCTGTTGCGCTAGTATTTCAGGTCCTATAAAACAGGTGTATTTTAAAGTCCTTAATGTGCATGGCTTAACAGGAATTTGTGCCACCTTGTATTTCTGATAATCTTTTGCTGGATGCTGTTTTTCTCTTGCCCCTAAAAATTTTATAGGTGACACTAAATGTATTTGCTTACATGCAGGTACAATTTACTCCAACCTGCATTAACACAAAACATCTTTATAGCTACATACCTCATTTGCTTTTATGGAAACGGGGTGAAATAAATCATCATTGGGAACATAATACCAATAGTGTGGGAGACTGCAGATTTTGTTTCTAGCAGCTGTCCTATATTTAATTATTTTATCACAAGTGCACTTAAATCATAATATATAGTATCTGGCTCTTTTTTTTTTTTTACACTGTGACCAAACTTAGATTAAAGCAGTTTTCATATTGTTGCCCTCATTTCCAACTTAAGCTGTGACTAAAAAGAAAGTTATAGGATATTTAAATATATCAGTACAGAATGTGGACTAAAATATATGCTGAAGTGCACTTTTGGTTATTTTTATGAACTGTTTAGATATCTGTCATTCAACTTTTCTTTTATACTGCAGAGCTGAGAAGTGACTTGAGTTAAAACACTCAAGTATGCAAACATTGTCGTGATTTGCTTTGAAGCTACTAGATTGAGAAATGCAGTTACTATATATGCTTTCTACAAATGCTCTTGTTTTCAGGAACTGTATCTAACAGTTTGTCCAATGTAAAGTGCTGTAAATATAAGACTTTGGGGGAAATAAACGTCTGTGCAAACCTTCCTGTTGTTTCACTTCATTGCAGTGTGACAAGGACTTAAGTTTCTAAAACGAAGCAGGTTTGAATGCTGCTCCAGCCTCTTCAGGAGGAAGTGTGACAGCAAGTGTTTCCGCAGTGCTTTTCATGGGAAAACTTATTCCAGTGCCTCTCTTAGAGTAAAGCCTGTATTTCTGTAGAAACTGACAACAGGCTGAAAAGCAAAGTTTTTCTTGATACTTAACAGAATACCTTTGATACTTAATAGAATACCTTTGAATAATGAGTAAATGCAGAACTCTGAAGCATGGTCTTGGTTTGAAAGTGGACATCAGCCAGTAGGATATCTTTCAGGAAACTAAAGTATGTAAAGTAGACATAATGATTTCTCCTCTGCCCATCAGCATGGCCTCAAGCTGTGTCACTGTAGAGAGCTCCAAAGAACACCTGTTTTATTTTTGTGTCTAATTCTTTTGTCCTACCACACTGCTCTCCAACCATGTGTAGAAACAGGTAGCTTAACTTTGTTGGGTTTTCTATGAAGCTTGCAATTAAACGCACTCAGTTAAGGAGAAGATGTGTCACCAGTACTGCTCATAATAGTCTCGGCTTTGCAGTAAATAATATCTGAAACACATAAGCTAAAATGAATCCCACTGTAATGTCGTAGACTGAGCTGGGTTATCTTTAAAGTCAGTAGAAACATACAGGCACACAGGAGTTGTTTCTAAAGTATACACAATAAATCACTGCAGAAGAGCTTGTTCTCTCTCTACTGATTTACAGTGGGAGTCCAGATAAGTAGTTCAAATGTCCACAAGCCAGGTAAGATGAATCCCATCTTCCCTATCTGGAAATAAACTGTTCCAGGCAAAATAAGGCCCTCTCATCAGGAAGTGGAGCTCTCCATCCTATAAAACTCGAGACTCCTAGTGTTCTCCTCCTCTTCTTAATCTGTTCATAATGATAAAGCAATTCCATTTGATCTCTGACAGAAAAAGCAAGCACATTAGGCTTAGCATGTTATTTCTTTTTATCCTGGAGTCATGAAGCCATTTCTCCATTGCCTGAAGGGGAGGGGTCCAATCACATCAAGGTGTGGTGCCTGTTGAGGTCCGCTACCTCATAGTGCCTTCACATAAATGGGATAATATTCTGTCCTGGCTCCATAAAATAGTGCGGCAGGCATTTGGCAGCATTCCTAAATTTTTGCTGTTTAAACACGAGGAAGTAGATCACTTGTGCATACCAGGGTTGACCTATAGAAACTGAAGGCTGTGAGAAATCCTTCCATTTGAACTAAGCAAGCACTGCAAAAGAGAATTTCTGCATTCCTGATCATAGGTTAGAGCCCAGGCACTCCCACTCCCGCAAAGAAAGCCATCAACCTGCCAAATACAGTGTTTAATAACACTTCTTTCCTGAAGTCATTCATGAGAGCTATTGAAGATGTGCGTCTTAGGATTTCTCGGTACACTGAGTGTTTTTAAAGGTTTTGGGAAAGTCACAAAGTCTAATGCTATCATTTGGGCTTTATTTCATTTTAATGGCTCTGTATTTTTCTTCCAATTCAACCTTACCATGTCTTGAGATAGCAGGTGCGTATTCGCAAGGGAAGGGACTCTCAGCAGCAGAACAAATTTGCAAGCACCACTATCCCCCACTATGAGCACACCTGAATGCAATTTATTTTTAACAGACCTATGGCATCCTACCTCTCCTCTACATGAGGCACACTACAGTACTGTTACTGTATAATTAGAAGCTTTGTGGTTATGCTGCGTTAGCAGTGACACTAAGTTCCTGAAGAAGTGGATTTAAACTTCTGGGAAAATTCTTCCAGCACCTCCATTAGCTTCTCCTCATCCTCTGGTGGACTGTAGGTTCTTGCGAGGGGTAAGTGTGTAGCAACTGGTTGCCTGTCTGGAAGAAAAAATAAATCTGTTTAACTATTTCTTCTAGCACAAAGGAGATTTTTTTGCAAGGCTCTGTACTTCCTAAACAAACTTCATGGTCCTGAAGCCAGAAGACTTACCTTCTAGGCTTCTGTAAACCATGTTAGTTAAGTACACCTTTCAAATCAGAAGTTAAACTAATTTCATTTGAATTATTGAACTAGAGCGATCTTTCTGCACAACATGACTTAAAGTGGGGAGTGAGATCTCATTGCAGCTAGGCACAGGATAGATAAAGGAAAGCCTTATTGTGGGGTTTAGGCCTGCTCTCTGTCACTAGTGTAACTGTTGTAGATGAAGATCAGTAACTTTAGACTATTGGTGCAGGCAGAATTTGCTTTTTCACAGCACGAGATGAGGTTTCTGAACAAGACTTCTAGTGCTATACAAATTCTGCAGCTGGGACTTCATAGTCTGGATTATTTTCATCCTTAAAATGCTTACTATTTAAAATAGTTAAATTTGGAATGCTAAAGGGCTCTGCTAATTGCTCAAAAGCTAGGAGTAACTGTATCCAATATCAAGATGTCTAACCAAGCTTGCTCAATTTGATGCTTTGGTTGGTTTCCTGAATCTCATCTTCCTCACTCACTCTGCATAAATATAGCTTGTAGCAGTGCTATATCACTGTCTATTCTAAGCTATCTTCCAATGAGAGATTTTTCTCTCTAAAAACATCGTAGCTAGAGCCTTGGGACCATATAAAAATGCTCTCAGACATCTACAAAGCAACTGTCAGGGCACTGCTGCAGTGCTGTTAGTCTATTCAGTAACTCCAACTTCTGCAGTAGCCAGCTGAGAGAAAAAGAACTAGCTGTTCCAACACTGGGCAGCAGATTCTCTGAAACCTAACAGTCTGCTTTCCTGACTGTTAGGGGAGGAGAGATATTTGGTCTCTTAAGAGCAAATGTTGTAACTGGCTGCACACGCCACATTACCTCTGCTTATGGAAAACTGAGGAGAAAGACATGCAGAGGAATGTTCCCTTCTCTGTCACTGAATATGAACTGCTTCCCACCTCAGTGGGGCGCAGGAGAGGAGTGTTTCAAGTAGGCTGTGTGCAAATGTTTGGGAACTATTTATGTAAGCCAAGCTCAGCATCACGGAGAAGGTGCTTCTAGTCTCTGGAAAGCAGGACCCTGTCAAACAGTTTTTATTTATTTTGGCAGGTGCAGAGAATTCTGGTTGTACGAGTCATGTTCTCACTTCCCATTTCTTTTCTCAGGAAGAAAAATGCTGGCTCTGGTTTGCACTCAAAGGGAACAGAATAAAAGAGAACAGAGGAAATGGAGGAAAGGTGCTACTGATTCAGGAAATGGCCGTCTAGGACTAGAAGAGCAGGGTCTGTGGTAAAGTGCTCCTGCACACAAAGCCCTTTACTGAAAGGTGTAAAGAGCATGCATTCCAGGCTGTGGTTTCCAACGGGTAGTCGGAGAGAGATCTGTCTGACTTCATCTCTTTGTGATAAACACAGGACACGAGACTGCTCTCGCAGCCTTAAGTGCAGTCATGCCAAGACCAAAGCTTTCAAGAGTCATTATCTACAGCTTAAAGAGCCAAGGCTTGCTCCCCGGTTGCTAAAGCTGGGGGTGGACAAAAGCCAAAGGCAGGAGTCTTGGTGAAATTATGATCTAGAGTAAGAACAGCTGAGCAGAAGTGTCAGGACCAGAAGAAAAGCAAGGTGACAGGAATATGAAAAAAGGCAAAGCCCGGATATACAACGAATGACCAGCTGGGATATGTAGTTTGTGCATACACAACGGCACAAATACGGCATTAAAAAGGCCTGCTTAAGTTATCTGTCAACCAACCATTTGTGACTGTTTGGGAGGGGAGAGAAAGGACAAAGTCAACCCAACCCTGGAAAGGTCCAAACTTCCTGCATGCCCTGACTAGAAATGCCAGTGAATCAGGCTGTGAGTGCCACATCCAACGGAAGGACGAGGCTCCTGTGAGCAATTACTCTGAGCCTGGCCTTTCTCCCACTGGACTGACCTGCATCACCATTTAGACATCCATGCTTACAGCCACACCTACTACCATGCCTTTCATCTGCCTGGAAGAGAGAAAAGCTCTGTCCTATTTTTCCATTTACGTTCCCTGCGCTAACAGTGCCAAAAAAAGCCACTTAGCTCAAGTCTCTGCACAGCTTTAGAGAAAGAGGGAGCTGGCAGTTCTATGCTAGCATGGAGAGGTAGGAGGAGGAGGAGCCTGTCAAAGCAAAGCCAACCTCCAGTGCTCTGTGAGAAGGATGACAGTTTCCCAGCATCATAAAAGATGCTGTTTGACTGCTGTGATTCACCTTCCCTCTGGCACAGTCCTGCATGGAAACATCTGCATAAAAAAACAAAGTACACCCTAAAAAAATGCTTTGAAGTCTCTACCACCTGATTTAGAAGACAAAAGTAGGAACATAACAGCCAGCTTCACGTAGTCTTTCTCTGCTTGCACAATGCTTACTTGAACCTTTAGTCACAGAACAATTTTGAAAAATATTTTATCCTTTGAACAACAGTTGCCTAGCTGGGCCTTTGTTCCCTCCCAGGCCAGATGAGAATCCTATAGGCAGCTTTAGCAGCCTCCACTGAGACCCGATGTAAGACACTGCTGACTTACCTTGGAAGAACAAGCCGCTTGGTAACTTTGTTGCTTCAGATGAGACTGCCAACCATACAACAGTGTCAGCTCCCTGTGCCTCTGTGCGCAGGACATTCTTCATCTTCTGATAGAAATCTGGCATTGATGATCTCACAGCTAGAAAGAAAAACAAGAATGGAATAATGTTGTGCCATTTAAGGCTTTTTTTGGTTTAAATATTAAAAAAAAAAAAAGGTTAAAAATTGCCATTGTGAGTGTGCGAAGAAGAGAAGCGATCTATTGTGGTGGAATAGAGGTAAATTTCCAGGTGATCAACCAGGTGTTTGTTTTGGTCAAACTATAGGGAGAAAACTACCAGAATGTGAGAACAGGAATCAGTAAGAGATTTCCGATCCAATTCTATTATAAATTGCAAAGAAGTAAAACATGGGGTAAACAGAAATACAAAGAATCATGACAGGATCTTTAATTGTTATTTTTTCACCAGTTTTAGGAAAACAACTGCAGCATAATATTTCACAAGTATATGGTGAACAGCAGCTAAACCAACAATATAACTAATGCTTAAAAACTGGCTTCTTTTTATTTTGTCGAACAGGTGATGATTGATCGTCCCTCCTCTGCAGCTCTTTATTTTTAGGGGGTTAGAAATTCCTTAAACTTTAAGGCAGGATAACTTTAAGGTCATTAGGTTTGAAATACATGAAGAATATAGCACAAAAATAAATATATTTTAAAGAAAAAGAAATACTAGGGTTTCTAATTGGAAATGCTAGTTTTCAAGAATAAAATCGATGGGACAAATGCTTCAGTCATCAGAAGCACGTTTGGGAAGCTGCATCACGAGAAAAGCCATGGGAGATTGGATTGCTAGTCCACATCTCAAGCTTGGGTCTTAGGCAATGGTAACATATTGCAAAATGCAACATGCACATTGGATAACTGATGCTGGCCCACCTGCTGCGACATAGTCACTAAAGGACAGCTGCAGCTCAGGCAAAGGGCTGTCTAGCGAAATACGCTGCTTCTTGACAGCAGTAAATGATTAGAGGAAGAGCAGAGGAACAAGGCTTGCACAATGGTGCACGCCCCATTTTCCTATATGCCCTCTCAGAGTCCCACCATCTGCATGTTGGGACTCACAGAGGCAGAAGCTGTATCTTTGTGTTTAACAGTCCCATCGCAAGCGTAACTTAAAGGTTAGCTTAAGGCACTACGGCTTTTCTGTGCATTTGCATGGGACTGGAACCATTCACATCCCTTTATGACTCTCTGGCTACTCACAGATAGCAGACACTGTGCAGAACAGGACTACCAAGGGGGTACAAAACTACCTTAATCACCGATTTGGAGACAGGAAATTGCTGCACCTGTTAAAGAAATTTATCAGAAAATCTCAATTCTCTTTGCTTTTAGACTAATCCTGAAAAGAAAAAACACAGGCAGAATCTCAAGCAGATGGTACCTGGAGTGTCTGCCCAGCCAGGGTGCATGACAGAGAAATGGATGTTTCTGTGAGCTTTTGCCCATTGTTCTGTCAAGACAACTTGCTGTCTCTAGGATAGAACAAAAACAGCCAGACTAGCACTGAGTCCATTAACCTGTCCACTGAGTTTGTAATTCTGTCTCGCTATAACCAGTAGCGAGAGTTTCCCAGGGAGATAAACTATACCAAACGTGCTGTAATTATCAGGGCATTCTGGTACAGCAGAAATACACCTCGGCTCATCCTGACTGGGTTTATTGGATAATGTTATCAGAGACCACTGTGGTCACTGCAGTCCATATCGTGGCGGCAAGCTTATCTTTAAAGCAGTTACATTGCTTTTACTGACCAAGCCTGCTTGCTGCAGCCTGCAGGTAAGAACTGAGTAGGCAGAGAAGACTTATCAGCTAAAGATAGTTTTCTCCCCTCGCCTTAAATCAAATAAAATTAAAGTCTAGCCATGTTCTCAGTGCAAAATGGTATGTACTCATGGGTGCACGCCACGATGCTCCTGAAACTGCTCTCTGCTCTGCACTTTAAAATGCAATGGTTGCTCTACCTGAAGCAGGAAATTTGTTGTACTGATGAATATTATTGCCTGTGGGGCTCTCTAGGGGTTGGATGCAATGGGAGAGCAATAGTGAACACAACAGAGTTTTTGCAAAGCAGATGGTATGAGCCGCCCAGCAAACAACTGCTGGGCTTTGCTTTCAAAACCATGGACTGTACCTTGTTTTGTGCATACACCATAGTTCCATCAAATGTGCCATTTGCTGACTGCAAGTCAGATATGCTTAATTTTTGAACCAGCATGCCCCCAGAAGAGACAGTTATCTGTAATCAATTGAATAAAAACAAATGAGTGAAAAACAAAACCAAGAACTCCTCACAGTTGCACTCATGCATGTAATTTTGCCTTCAGGCCCTATATTGAAGTCCCTGGGAGCAGGATTCCTCTGCATACTCTTTACACTGTGCCTGTGGCCACGTTTGGAGCACATCTGCAGACGAGGTGAAAGAAAAAAAAATCAAGTGATTTTCATTCAAAATGCCGTTGAGCCCATCAGGGAACTCTCTGTGCTTTTTCCTTCTGAAGAATAATGTAGAAACTACACTCTCTGTAGTTTCTATATTTAGCACTTACAGAAGCTCATTAGAAAACAAGAAATACAGTACAAAACATAGGAAATTTCATTTTAAAAGTGTACTTGCTGTCCTGTTTTACACCAAGACCTAGAAGGTTCCTTTAAGCCTATACCCCTGATATAGGTATTTTGCACTGTGCTGCAGCAGATTACTTGCCCTGGAGACGTCCGACAAAAATAAGTTTCTCAGGAACTGTTTTACTCTGCTTTCCAATGAAGGGTTGAGAGCAGCAGGAAAGAACCCTGCCTTGGAGAAGGAGCCTGCTGTTAGCAAATTCAAGAAGATTCTTGAGATGCTTATGGCATTATAACTAATCCTGGATTGCTAACACAGCCAAAGAGATATTGTCACAAACCACAGGGAAAGAATGGTAGAACACCACTTTTCAGCAGCAACACACGCTCACCACTCTGGGATCAGCTTCTTTTTCCAGCAGGGGTAGCAGGGCAGTTGTCAGAATGTATGTACCTACAAGAAAGATAAACATGAACATTAACTTTTCTTTTTGAAAAAGCTTTCTTCTCTCCTTGCCCCCTATAACAAGTCAAAATACAAGAAGTCTCTTTATTACTGAAATTTCATCTGAATTTAATGATTTCATTGCTGCTTTACCTGTGTCTATTTAACTAGTAGCAGTCCACATTGCTACATACTTCTCAAAGGACACACCAACTATTTGATAGGCTTTTATGAATGTTGTACCTATAGTGTAAACTGCTCACCACATTCCCACTATGATTCTAAAGCAGCTTGGGTCAGATATATATTTACTTGGGGTAAGGTGATGCCAGGGAAAAAAGAGGCAAGATATTTCCTCTCCATGTATGGTGTGTATGCACATATTTAGGCCAGGTTATGAACAAGAGAAGCAAATTGTTGCTAAATGCTTGTGTTTCTCAGGCCTTGCATATGGCAACTATATCCAGCCCTGGCTGTGGTTTAACTGGAGAAGGTGAAGATGCACTAAAGATTTATCCATCACTCTGCAATGTTTTTGCCTTCTCGCTGTGAAATCACTTAGGGTACCCCAACATTTCTGATTTGCGCTGCACATAAAAACTTCCTTTTTAATACCCAGCATGACTATTATAAAAGATAAGCAGTCCCTAGCGGGAAAATACTAGTATTGTGCGCCCAGGGCTAAAACTAAGATTACTTGAGGAAACTTAGCTGTGTTCCTTCCCTCTTTAATCACGCTCATTTAGCACAGATTCATACACACAGCACAACTATATTCCATTACAGCTGTTACCATGACTAGCAAAGTTTGTTTATTCAAAACATTGTTCAACTGATAGTGTGTTTGATTCAGACACACCTAGCGATTTTTCAGCTAGCTCAAGGCCAAGACAGCGATTTTGGGGGTTTTTTTAATCTCTTAAGACATATTTTTTACATATGTTTTCCTTTAAACTGTATTAAAAAATTCTCAGCTGTTTAATTCAAAATGAATCTTTGTAGCCCCACTTAGTCTAGTGCTTCTGCATTAAGGAAAAGCATAATACTTCCCTCTTGTCCCTTCACAAGTGGCTCTAGTTCAATAACCTTGTGTCAGTGATGAATTTTTTTCCACGAGCTACGAAGCACTAGACATGAAGACACTTCAGCATGTGTCTTTATAACCTCCCTTCCACAGAGGTGATGAGATCACCCAGCTGAAATATAGCACGTTTATAAATATGCTACCAAAGTTAAACACGTTACATGCTTGGTGAACAAACTGTTCAGTTCCCCTGCCAGCCACAACAGTCTTCATTTTCCCAATATAATCACAGGGACATCCATATGCACACAATATATTTAAAACCCAGGCAAATCAAACAAAATGAATGCGCAGCAGATGAGTAAATGCAGGCTGCCTTCAGCAGAAAATGCAAGCCAAGGCAGTTGCCAGTGAATAATGAGAGAGCGTAAGTCTCCCCTGGTAGCGGCGGGGAGACTGAAGGATGACATCATTAGGACAAGAACTACTGCTGATTGCCATGGGAGATTGCCGCGAGATAAAACAAAAAAAAATAGCTTCAGTACAAGCTGAAAGCCCGGATTAAATGTTGATCTGCCACAAATTCTTCAAATGCAAAGTAACCTCACGTTTTGGTTAAACAAGCTGCATTTCCTTAAAGCAGAGCTGCAATGCACCAGCTATGACAGCGCTTGATTTGACTCCCCCCAGACTAATTTATGCTTTTAAGGGCTTCATTTCTGTTTGTTAATTCTAAAGAGATGCAAAGACGAATGCATTAACATTGCCTCATTAACGACTGCGTTTTGTTTTGTTTTCCAGCTGGATGAGAGAGAAGCTCGATGCCAAAAATACTGCTTCTAGCAACTACAGCTTGTCAGAAGTTTGTACGTGCAGTTAAAACCACAAATTGCAAAGCTCATGTTTCTTCTCTTCCTCTCATTTCAGAAGAATTCACTAAATCCTACATAGTCAGATCATTCGGTCTTTTTGCCCCACAAAAACCACTTGCTCATTCACTTTGGGACAGAGTGTCAAGAGACTCGTTTTGATCCCTGTTTCCTGGGGCAGGCACTAGCGTCTCCAAACATACATACATCTGAAGCACTGGGCTTCAAAACCAGTGTTTTGTTCCTCCTCCTACTAAATATTTCACCAATGGTTGTTCCAATCTTAAGTGTCTGGACACAGACTCCTTAATTTTTTTAACAAATACATTGGCTACTATACATTCTTATCTGCACGGCTGGTCTGTGAGGCAAAACAACCTCACCAAGTAATTTAGTACAGTAAGATTAATTGGGTCTATATTTGGTTGAAATACATCCTCACCAGTCTAAACCCATACATTTTCATTCACATAAAAGCTAGTATGCAGTTTGATAGTTACATTCAAACCGATAAGACTAAAAACAGTGCTAAGTACAGCTGGTCTAGCGGCCTGTTGCAGTCATGTACTTCCTGGCATGCATTTTTCCAAGCATGGATGTATTACAGTAGGCAGCAATAGAGAAATCAATTTCCTTTAAGTAAATAGGAAGCAATAAATGAATGCGTTGATGGCCACAGTCCTCATGCAAGCATGAACTGCATGAGCAGTATTAAAATTAAAAGAGAAAATTTTCTTATTTCTAGTAATTATTCCTCCGCAAGGAAAACCAACATTTTGATTTGGTAGACGAGAGACGAGGCTACCCATTAGAGAAATCAAGACAATATCCAAGCTATTTATATTTTTGCTAACAGTTGATTATTCATAGCCACGCATTGGGCACCTAGCTTTCCAAAACAAAAACCTCATCATTCTATTATGTTGTTTCCTTGACACAGAAATCATTTTCGCCTGTTGAAGGAGGCACCTCCTCCCATAGAGCTGAGTTAAAATGGTAAGGCATATCAAACGTGATTAATTCTTAATAGTCACTGTGTTCAGTCACTGTAGAGATTTTTTGATTATTTTTTTCTCTTTATTTTTTAAGAGACCAAGAGAGAGCACAAAGGGGCATGGCGGGGAAGGTGACGATCAGCAGTGATGTGCCTTGCACTGAAAGAGCATTGAGTATCTCGGAGATCCTGCCCTTCCTCCGACAGCACCTTCGTGATTCTGCCAGAAACAAAGGGAGACTTATTCTGGAACGGCAAGAACCAGCAACGCAACTGGGGGTATTCTGGAGAAAGAGTGTCCTGGTCTCAAGCAGATACTTTGTAAATGGAGGCACTCAGCCTCCAGGCCGTCGTGTTTCTCAGTGCCTGTTCCCCACCGCCTGTACCTATGACAGAGGAGGAACTGAGAGTCCTCTGGGAAACACGGCAGCGAGGAGCACGATGTTTCTCACCATGGCTCACCAGGACTACAGCCCTTTTCCTGCACAGGGCTGAATAGTACCTGTGTAAGAAGACAGGCCACCTGAAATACTCACGTGGCAGAAACTCAAGCAGCAGCTTCCCTCTTTCCCGCAGGCATCTCAAACCCAGCAGTCAGGAAGCTAGGAGTAAACCTACGAGGCACACTTAGACATACTGATAGCTGCACTACTTGCAGCTATCAAATCTGATCGTGTGGCGGAGGCCAGACTGTTATATATGACCTGTTCCTGCAGTCGGAAGTATACTGCCTGCCTGGCCTGAAAGTTTGGCTCCACTGGTGTAAGGGTAAAAAAAAACATTTTTGCAGGGAGATGGTACACAACACTTCTCTTTAAACAGGAGTATTTGCTGTGCCACAAAGGAGTCCAGCAAGTTTAATTCTGGAGCTTGCTCAGAAGCAAGCAGGAGAATGCAGAAGGTGGTAAGTAGGCGTGCAGTCTGTCACCCCCACATACAGGATTTCATTTTGCCTTCGCTGAACTCTGCAGAGGTGAGGAGTCAGCTAGAGAAGCCTACTGGGCAAGCTACAGCTTTGTTCCACATAATGAGGTTTGACATAGTACATGCTGGCCACATCTTTTCGAGTCAAAGAGGCTCCTGGGATTGATGTACAATTCCTTTTAAAGATAAACATCCTCTCAACATTTGCTTTTCTTTGGAAAAATTCCTAAAAGTTTTATATCTCTAATCTGAGCTCACTTAATAGGAAATTATACAGCGCAGTTAAAGTCTTTTCTATAAGGACATAGCAACGCTAGCATTACATACCATCCAGCCAACTCTGTCATACAGTAGACTAGATAGTGTGGGTTCTCAGTCCGCATATTACGTATCATAATTCTCGTAAAAGTTACTAGCATGACACTTAATGAGAATACATTTTGTTCATACACATTTTCTCCCAAGTGCTGATCACATTAATGTTTGTTTAGCTTTCAGGTTTACTTGTTTGGAAAAAAAAAAGAATCACCATGCATTCCCTTGTGTCCTGTTGTATATGTGTTCCACTTGCTCTGAGGTCTTCTCAATTTAGTTGAGTAATCTGATATTGTGCGCTAGTTAACATCTCCCGTTTTTAACTCCATACAGTGAACTCCTCTCTGATCCTGTATAAGCAATAACTTATGATGCAAGTGTAGAAAATAAGGAGCTGTTAGGAAGACAAACATTAAATTCCTACACTAAGCTCTTTAAAAAATACTAAAAAAATCTGTCTGGCTGCTTCCTAAACTCTTAAAATCAAATTAGGCCACCTTACACATGACTTGAAGTGGAAGTTGAGGGGAGTCTATGGAAAACACTATGGCTAGCTCTTGCCAGAGGTAGTTATGCACATTCTTCTAACAATTAATTCATCATTGATCTTACCACCTTGGTGACACCATAACCAAAGTGAGAGCTATCCCCATGCAGTGGCCAGAAGCCTACAGTGCATTACACTCTGCTCTTTCCCACACAAAGCTACAAATCTTTCTATACTAGATCATGAAACTAAGCAACACACGGAACACCTCAAACAGAAAAGAAAAACAAATACTTGAAGGAAGACTTCAAGAATACCTTTAAATCAGTGTTGTACTTCAGCTTTACCATGCTAAAACCTGGAGGAATCCTCAAGATTCATGTACTTCAGACTTGA